CTGACTGCCGCGCGGTGCCCTGCGCCAGGCGGAGCGGAGGCCGCGCGCGGCCGGCAGAGCACCTTCAGGATGCTCATCAAGGAGTACCACATTCTGCTGCCCATGAGCCTGGATGAGTACCAGGTGGCCCAGCTCTACATGATCCAGGTGAGGGCGGTGGGAAGCAGGAGACCAAGCGGGCCACACTTCATGATGGGGTAATGGCAGGAGCGCGCAGGCCGCACCTGGGACAAGGGGCTGGGCCCAGCTCAACCCCCATCAGCCCAGCTCTGAGCCTAGGGGAGGACAGAGAAGTACCCCTTCCAATGCGGGGGGTCGGGGAGGGGTGGCTGTGGGAAAAGGGGAAGAAGGGCCTAGCGGTGCCTCCCCATCCCCCAAGTGACTGGCCCCTGGTTGACGCACAGCCCACTTCTGATCTCCTTTAATCCTCCTTAGAATCCCAACCCCTTGCGGGAGGGAAAGGAGTGCATGAGGAGGCAAGAGCGAGAGGCAGGGAGCCAGGAGGGGTACTAGGTGGTAGAGAAGACTGGAAGGGGGTCCCCAGAGGGTGCATGATCCTGACAACCCCAGGTGGTCAGGGAGATGGGAATGAGGATCAGACCCCAAAGCTGTGACAGACAGGGGCAGGCAGAGACCCAAGAGGGTGAGGCAGGGGTCTGGGCTTGGGAAGGTTGCAGCAAGGCAGGCTCTCAAGGCAGGAAAACTGTTCAGGGCCAGGGAGGCCTGTGTTCCCCAGAAATGAGGGTTAGGGTCTGAAGAGACAGGAGGGCCAGGATCTGGCCTCAGGGGGTTGAGTGAGCCAAGTTCAGGCTCCAGAGCTATAAAAGGGCAGGAACTTTGCTCTCAAGCTACAAGGGGTGTGGCAGGAGCTGGTATTGGGGTCCCAGAGAGGGAGGGGACTGGGGTCAGGTTCTCAGAGAGGTGTGGGCCCCTTTCACTGTCCTCAATTCTTCCAGCCCACCCTCCCAGGCCTCTTTGCTGCCCCTGGAGCGCATGCGGCACACTCCTACCTCAGGAGCTTGTATTGACATCCCCTCTGCCTGGAATAGTTCCCCCCAGCCCCATGTGCACTCCACATCTACCCTCCCCCACTTCAAGTCATATTCACACTGTGGTCCTGTCATCTTCCCAATGAGGCTTTCCCTGATCATCCTGTCATAATCGTACACTTTCTTCTTCCCATAACACTTAGCACTTCTAACATACCATGTCATTTGCTTCTCTTAAGTCCCTCCCTCCCCTGGAACCGAAGTCACACAGGGCAGGCAGGGGTCTTTGCTTTGTTCATCAACAGGAGGCCCCAATGAATATAATCCCAATATGCCTGGAACAGAGCGGACAATAAGTACGTGAATGAGTGCTGGGTTGCGAGCCCTATGGAGGACTGGACAGCAGCTGTGATCCTGATCCCAGGGAGCTGCAGGGGACCAGGGTCGGGTTTCAGGGGGGTGGAAAGGCTGGGGCTAGGGCTTCAGCACTGTGCAGGGGCCAGGCTGAGCTGGGGACCCCAGGAGCTCAGCTGGGGCTGAGCTGCCCTTTCTGCTCTGCCCCGGGGTGCAGAAAAAGAGCCGGGAGGAGTCGAGTGGTGAGGGCAGTGGTGTGGAGATCCTGGCCAACCGGCCCTACGCGGACGGGCCCGGCGGCAGCGGGCAGTACACACACAAGGTGTACCACGTGGGCTCCCACATCCCAGGCTGGTTCCGGGCACTGCTGCCCAAGGCTGCCCTGCAGGTGGAAGAGGAATCCTGGAATGCCTATCCTTACACCCGAACACGGTGAGTGGGGGGCGGCGGGCCTGGGGCGACAAGAAGAACAGCCCTGGTGGGCACAGCAATGATCCTCACCCCTGACCTGTGCCCCAGGTACACCTGCCCCTTTGTGGAGAAATTCTCCATTGAAATAGAGACGTATTACCTGCCTGATGGGGGGCAGCAGCCGAACGTCTTCAACCTGAGTGGAGCTGAGAGGAGACAGCGCATCCTGGGTGAGGCCCAGGGCCAGTGAGGAGACCCCAGAGCCCCTCTCAGGCCACCTGCCACCTCAGTGGGCAGCCTCTGACAAGTCACAGGCTCTCTCCTGGCCTCGGCTTCCTGGCCGTGGAAGGCTGCCCTCCCAATCCCAAGGCAGGGAAGGGGTGGCCAGGGGGTAGGGGACTGGTGTGGTTCAGTGCCACTGGACCCCCCCCCCAGACACCATCGACATCGTGCGGGATGCAGTGGCCCCAGGAGAATACAAAGCAGAAGAGGACCCCCGGCTGTACCGCTCGGCCAAGACTGGCCGAGGACCGCTGGCTGATGACTGGGCGCGCACAGCGGCCCAAACAGGGCCCCTCATGTGTGCCTATAAGCTGTGCAAGGTCGAGTTCCGCTACTGGGGCATGCAGGCCAAGATCGAGCAGTTCATCCATGATGTCGGTGAGCACCCCGCCACAGGAGGTTCCCTTGACCCAGCATGCACCAGGCACCCTGTGTTTGAGCCAGGGATGCTCCCAGGCTACTGGGGACGCAGAATAAAGCCATCATTTCCATTCGATATGGCACTGAGGCAGAGGGGAGCAGCCCAGCCCAGCTGGGGGCCAGGGGGGCCTAGTCTTGAGGCATAGGTAAGAGTCAGGAGGGCAAGAAGCTGGGGACATGATCTCTGAGGTCCAGAGGGCTCTGACATTCAGAGATGCT